GCAAATGAACTTTGATCGACCTTAACTCGTAAGGAAAAGAAGCTACTACATAATTAAGAAAAAATGTAATTTTGATGAATTAAATGGTTGGCCCACGCACGGCTCAGGATCTTACTTCGTACTTCCTTTATTCTCCCTACTTGGTTTGACTTCTCAGTCAAAGTCCTATTTTCCATTGTTATTTAATTATTTAATTACTGCTTTATTGTGCGTACAACGCAGAAAATTGGGAGAGCGTTCCTGACGGCTTTTCGTTTGATAGTGTCAAGCCACATTTTCTTGGATTCATATTTGAACTTTTTCATTCTCGTTCCATCATCGTTAAAACGTTTTTAGAACTAATTTCATGCGAGCAAAGTTTAATTTCTTTCTGTTCCTTGAGCACAGGTCATTCTGCTCGGTGATAAAGTGCCTTGTAAAATCGTAGACATTCCTAGAATTCTCACTAAGTCAGCTGTTAACAAAAAATTTGTGATTATTTGAAACACGGGCCGTTTCTGCAATGAAAGTGCAGTGTTAACAAGTCATTAGGTTGGTTAGCAGCTCTTCCAAGATTTATTACGAATTTTCTGCTTATTGGCCTTTTTACGCTGACAGAGTAACCTCTGTGAAGTTCTAAGCACTACATCGCGCCGTACGCGCTGCAACCAAGATCACCGTCACGTTCACACTTTTCCAAAAAATTTGCGACCCCACCCCCTTTGGGAGGTGTCGATGCGACTCCCCCCACCACCATCAGTCTTAGAAGAATCCCCGATACAAGCCCTCCCCTCCTTACCCCGACCGCAACCCTCGCCACATTGCTGTTTCTATAGTGATTGAATCGAGACCAGTCAACACAGCCAAACTCCGCACACTTTAGCCGTTCCAAAAGCAAAGGTCATGGGGGAGGGGGGGGGGGGGGAGTGGAGGTACTAAATTGGTATCATGAAGCGACAAATCCTCCAAGTTGTCTACTTCACGCTACTTTCCTAGAATTTTCACCAAATCCATCAACAAACCCATCTAAATGACAACCCCGTTCAACCCTTTGACTCTTTCAGCGATCTATGGTAACCTTGCTCAACCCCTAAATGCGACCCCTCGTCGAATAGTGCGAACGGATGGTTGACTCTGGCTGCGACTCGTCCGCTGTCCCGTATGCATCTTTGCCTTCTCGCGGGCCTACCTTCGGGTACCTCTAACCAGGAAAGGCATTCAACTTCCCATGGAACTTTGAGTTGAGACCCAGATATATCGATAGAGCTTCAAACGCTGATTACAAATATGGAAACTAAAACTGCAAAATGAACCTGCCAAGGAAGTTGTGAGCAGTCAAAGTTGGCTGGAAGTAAAGCATTACACTAGCCTCCGGGCTTTCAAAGTCGCCGTGGAGTAGTGGTAGTGCTCTCGGAATTTGCACTCCAACGGAAGAGGACCTATGACCGAGGGTACTACCAATACTACGCGGCGACTCTGAAAGCCTGGAGTCTGTGAAGCTGTATAAAGCAAGGGAAGCTCTATGAATATATCTGGGTCCCAATTCAAAGCTCCTTGGGAAGTTCAATGCCTTCTCTGGTAAGTACCCGTTGAGTTTCCTGCCTGTTTGTTATCATTAGAAATCTTGACTGGTTTTCGAGGGATAGTAAAAGTGATTGAAAAGTGCTCTATTTCCTCCAAGCTAGATCCACACAGCACCAGGTACGCCACCAATGATAATTTTACTATCTTATCCGCTCGGCGCTCATCAGCGGTGCTGTGCTTTCCAGCTTGCTGGCTACGAAGAAGAACAATTCTCTGGACATTTAGAGAAATGCCATGGTGGTAAGGTCGCAATAATTGCTTTGTGCAAGTTAATGGAACTCAGAAAATATTGGAATCTGGCGGGTATGCTGGCAGTTCGAATCGTAACTGTGAACAACAACTCGCAGTTCAATAAGGAATCATTTATGATGCAGGGCTTTGAATTACTCCACCTCCAAAATTGAACGGTTTCGATTGTTGCGGAAGCGGTCTCATACTCCCTTGAACATGGCTGGGATCACTACGAGTGGCCCCAAATCCGCGCCTCTTTATTACGCTCACCCACTTTTCAGGTCTACCAACCCCACTTTCCAGGACTTTCGATACCGATAAAGTTTCGCGAGCGCGTGCAGCCCCAGCACTTTGCTCTTACTCTGTACTTTCTGAAGCCTCAAGTGCAGAAAATAGCAAGCAGTTGTCCAAGCCTCCTCCACCTGGAACTTTTGCGCTCTGATGGGGTTTGGGTTGATGCAATCGAGCCATGGCAATATTCCTCGTTAAGAGGTTTGGTAACGACCTCCTCATGGCAGCTACCACCTGTCAGCCACCTGAACTCCCTGATCCCTCTTCAAACAGATTATTGAGGTTGCCAGCAATGAGAGGCATCGAGAACGACAGCAATCGTTCCACTTCGAAGCATAGTCAGCGATAAACAATCCGGAATCTAGATTTCTCGCCAAACCTTCTCAGCCCACACTCAACCACTGCGTCAAAGCAAATTTCGGCGTCAGCACGGAGCAGGGTCAACTGTTTGTTTGCACTATTCGATAGAAGGGATCGGCATTGTGATTTTCCGTGAAAGGGGGTTACAATTTTGGCGGTCTGAGCAAAGTTTATCATAGTGGGAACGAGGCCGTAGGAAGGTTGCATTTAGGACGGTTGGGTTGAAGGAATGGGTGAAATGCTAGGAATAGCGTGAATTCATACGACACCTCCATCCCCCTCCCTCTCCCGCTGCCTGGATCGGATTGTGTTGGCAGAAAAAGGGCGTCGGGCTGCCTCAGCCTGTCTCGCGAATGAAAATGAGAAAACAGACATGGTGGTGCAGGTGTGGGTCAGGATGGAAGCTCTTACTGGGGAAGACTTCTAGACAAGACTGATGGTCGCATCGAGTCTATCTAAAGGAGGGGGAGGGAGTCGCAAAATTCTTAAAATAAGCGGATATGACTTGACCCTTGCATGGAATCCTGCCGCGAAGACGCCTCATGCCCCTGCCAATATGATGACCGCTACCTGGTAATTTGAGAGTTTCATTAAAGTCGTTTTCTCCTCTCCTTAGGATTTTTATTAACGGAACACCCTTGCTCATGGGGCGGAAGTGGTGTAGTGGCAAGTGGCACGCTTAGAGCGGTCCGGGATCAAATCCTGGGTCGTGAGTCGCCCGGGCCAACCAAGCCTTCCATCCCTCCGGGGTCGGTTAATTGGTACCAGACTTGTCTGGGAGGATAAAAA